TTTGTTTACAGCAACGCTACTATCCATCCAGTTATCACTAGAAAATATTTATTGACTTTCTCTTGTATCTTGTCACATATGCTGAGCTGACAGCGCCTCTTAATGCTCATTTGTACTCAATGCATGTCAGCTATTCTGACAGAATAACGGCTCAAATTTAAGTTAAAGAAGGTCAGTGTTAGACCCGCCCAAAGCCCCGCCCTCCACTTTCATTGGGGAATTATTTTATGGTGACACGACAGGAAGTGGAACCAGGTGATAATAATGATCACAACAATCAAAAGCATATTTAGTAATTGTCTTGTCTGGCTGCTAAGTTTCCATTTTCATAATGTAAACTTAGTAAATGACTTATTAACTAAATTGTGTCTTAAATAAACTCGTTAAATAATTTTATCATTGTACATTTCACCTTTCATATTTAATCTTCCAAATTGTCCAATATTCATGTCAAATATTTTCCATTGGTTCATTTTGCCATTATTTTCTGCATGTGTGCGATTAACAACAATCACCCACTGCTACCAATTCTGCTGTGAATCCCAGGAAAGTAAAGGCTGAGATTTAGTTGTGCTTTTGAACGTTTGTGTTGAGTGTGTGAGCGGAGCAATGTCTGACAATATCAGCGGGTGAGATTAAAAATTACTTTATGGTTTCCCTTTAGGCATTTTATGTCACTCTTTAATGTGATATATATCTGGTGACATATAATGGGTGCACTTCCCCTGCGCCCATTACAGGCACACAGCCCGCATCACCACCAGCGTTGGTCCACAATCTCCCAGTCGGATTGCGACACCGTGTGTGTGGTCAGGGTACACGTCCAAAAGTCAGGTGACCTGAACATCTGACTCCTCCTCCATGTAGGCGTCTTCTTCCTGTCTCTACATGGAGGAAGAAGATTTTATGTAATATTTGTCAGGAAGCTACTAGATGAAGCGATTGCCATCTTATTTGCTCACCTGGAGATCCTTTATATCATATTTTGACTCAAGTCTAGTTCCAGTCTGGTCATTAGAATGGAGCTATGACCAGAATGAAACTAGTTCTGGTCATAGTTCCATTCTAGAACATCCAATGTTCTAGAACATAGAACGTTAACTTCTTAGTTGAGTTAATGTTCATTCTTGTAAGATTGTAATTTTCGAATAACCTAAGAAAATCCTGTTTCTATACATGAAGGCATCAAAGTGGATTTCTTGTTTGATTGACATTTAAAAAACTTTTTTTTGTCTATTTCCCAGATCTTCCACAATGTTGTGTGTGAAGAAGAGGAGATTCTCAATGACACAAAACCACAGAGGAACCAACTCATCTCTCATGGCTCTGCAGAAACTGAGAACCAGAATCAGGAAGGAAGCATTCTGAAGACCCAGGAAAAAAGAGAAAGGAAGAACAGAAACCAAAGGAGATATGAGAAAACCAAACAGCAGAAAGACAGAACTGATGCTGAAAAACAAAAACCGCAGAAGAAAACTCACAAAGGGCAAAAAATACATTCTTGTAAAATTTGTGATAAAACCTTTTCTGGAAACAGTAACTTGAAGACACACATGAGAATTCACACAGGAGTAAAACCTTTCACTTGTTCAACCTGTGGAAAGAGTTTCAATGAAAGAGGGACTTTAACTAAACATATGAGAATTCACACAGGTGAGAAGCCTTTCACTTGTGGGACCTGTGGAAAGAGTTTCAATGTAAAAACGGCTTTAACTCAGCATATGATAATTCACACAGGTGAAAATCCTTTCTCATGTGGGACTTGTGGAAAGAGTTACAGACAAAAAACGACTTTAACTAGGCATATGAGAATTCACACAGGTGAGAAGCCTTTCACTTGTTCAACCTGTGGAAAGAGTTTCAGTGTAAAAGCGAATTTAACTGCGCATATGAGAATTCATACAGGTGAGAAGCCTTTCTCATGTGGGACCTGTGGAAAGAGTTTCAATGACAAAAAGGCTTCAACTCAGCATATGAGAATTCACACAGGTGAAAAGCCTTTCTCATGTGGGACTTGTGGAAAGAGTTACAGACAAAAAACGACTTTAACTAGGCATATGAGAATTCACACAGGTGAGAAGCCTTTCATTTGTTCAACCTGTGGAAAGAGTTTCAGTGACAGAGTTACTTTAACTCGGCATATGAGAAGTCACACAGGTGAGAAGCCTTTCTGGTGTGAGACCTGTGGAAAAGTTTCAGTGTCAGAGGGACTTTAACTCGGCATATGAGAATTCATACAGGTGAGAAGCCTTTCTCATGTGGGACCTGTGGAAAGAGTTTCAGGATGAAACAACAATTACTTAAACACATAAAGATTCATATGGATGCAAAACAGTGACGTGCGGTGAGGCTTTACGATGTATAAATACAGACACCATGTATGTTATTGGTTACTCAGAAATTTTGCTCATGCACAACGCTGGAGGGCAGAAAGACCGTTCTTTTACACGTCATCCATAGCTGTAGTAACCAGGTGAAACTTAGAAATGTAGGTATTGTTTCGTGTTATGATCCACAGCAAAGGGAGAAACCTAAACCACTTTCTCACTCTGCATCACCCAAGCTACATGCAGACTCGTTGCAATAGCAACTGATAACAATGCCATGTTTTAGGATTAACATAAAAAATAAAGAATTTTGGTCACAGAACAGAACATTGAGTTTTTTGCAGTAGTTTGTTTTAGTCTTAGTGTTTTATTAATAAATCATTGCTGTGGTAGATTAGCTAACATTTCTACTTACTGAATTCTTTAGACATACAGACTGTGGCCACAAAATGCACATTTCTTTAAAAAAAACTAAACAAAAACATGTTTTTTCCCATCTTACCTTTACTTATAAATTAAATCCATAACAATTCTGCACAAAAATATCCATTCATCCAAAGCCAAGTCGATGCTCTGAATGTCTTGTACTAAATTACTTGAGGTCCATTTTTGTCTACCAGCTTTGTTTTTCTAAAATCAGTTTTTTGTTTTATTTCTCAGTCACATTTGTACTTAAGGTTCCCATCAGTGTCCCATTAGATACAGAAGTTAAAGAGGGGAATGTCTTCAGGAAGGTTTAATTTCTGTGGATTTCAGGTGTCTTGCAGTTCTGTGTCATGTAGTTATTGAGTTCAGCTTTTACATTGTTGACTTTTACATGTATGACTTGAAATAAAGTATTTTACATTTTAAAGCAGTGTATTATTCTTTTTTCCCATAAATTGCTGGGTTTCACATGATGTAGCACCGATGCCTTACCATGGAGGTGGGGGTCAGAAAGTAAATGCAGCACATTTAGGCATTTTGACTTAAACATCAAAATGTCTTAAGTCTGTGCCATGTGTGGTTGTTCCAACCATTCTAATAGAGAGAAAGAAAAACTTTATCTTTGTGTTTTGAAGGTAGTCGGTCACAAGGAAGTTAATTTAGAAAAAACTCACCTAACAAAGAGAAAAGTGGATCAACAATCTACAGCTAAAACCAGGAGGTGCAGGAAGTAATAATGCCGGAGTTTGCAGAGCCACTTTCTAACATCATTTAAATTGTATTTTCAGATATTTTAGTGGATGGTAACTTAGAAAGACAAGCATTCATATGCAGGCACATGCAGAGGGGGTCTGGAGAGGGCTTGAGCCCTGCCCCTTTTACCCTTGATGCCCCAGAGGCCTTTTGAGTTTATTTTTGTTTTCAACTTGAGTCTTTTGTGTCAGGAGGCCTTCTTGTGCCTCTAAATATAACACCTAGCAAAACTAATGAGTCTGGCTGCCCTTGGTCTAATTATGAGGATTCCCAGTCCTTCTGCCTCCACGTTGTTCAGACACCGGGTCCGTGGCGAGGAAGAGCGGGGCTGAACTGTGACCTCTATCGGTCAACTTTTGGGCAATAATTAATTTTTCTAACGTACACTTGTGAATAAAAACATAGGTCTGATGTTGAAGTTATAAAACCAGTTTCTATTTATATTTTGTAATAATGTCTGGAGGGCCCCTACCAGCAGCTACTGGGTTCTCTTTGTTTACCTTGATATCTCAGCCTTATAATTCTAGATCTCAGAGGTGCTGAAATCAAATTAATGACATGTGAGAAGTTAACTGTTTATACATGAAGGTTTTCCTGATTTACTATTTGTTTCAAACAGGTTTTATTTCAGTCTCTATGTTTATGTAAATCGATTCTGTCACAGTCTTTGACTAAACAGAAAAATAGAAAAAGACCATCATTATGATACTTTATCATCTAAAATTATAGAAAAGTTTCAATGATTTTTTTATCTGAAATTCAATCCACATCGTCAAGCCATTTTGTAAGCAGAAAATTTATTTAAAACCATGTCAAAGAAATGCATCCATTTCTCCAAATCATTAAAATAAAAATATGTACAAAGGATAAAAACACAATAAAGACTCCAAAATTTCAGAAGTCTAAATCTCAAAGCATTCAAACTCATTGTTTGTTAGACAATCTCTCCCTCAGTCTCATTCAATAAAATGGAAATATAAAACTGGAAGAATAAAATTTTTAAGAATTTCAGCTAAATATCCAGATTAAAATGCTTTGTAAGCAAAACCTGCTACATTTAAGAATTTAAGTCGGTTGCAATTACTCCACTTCCAAACAGCAACTTACTGAGAATCTTGAGGTTCACATTGTGCCATCAAACCTCTGCGAGTTCTCATGTGAACAGTTACATTTGTTTTGAGTGAACCTTTTTCTACTGAATCTACAAAATAAAAGCTTACAACCCGTGTGAATCTTCATGTGATGACTTAAACTGGATCTATACACAAAACATTTTCCTCGCTTTTCACTAAGGGTGCAGACATGACATGGTGAGCTGGTCTATAGTCAAACCTCACAGCGGAGAACAGAACAGTGGCTGAGGTCAATAACATTGAAGAATCAGATCAGCTTCACATGCATGTATCTGCTGCTCACCAATGTCCCAAAATTAAGGAAATCAACATTTATTAATCAGCCAGCTGATAAATCAATGCACAGCTACTTCTCACCAGTGTGAATTCTGTTGTGAGATGTTAAGTTGTGTTTGTGAGTGAAACCTTTTCCACAAATCCCACATGAGAAAGGTTTCTCACCTGTGTGAGATCTCATGTGAACAGTTAAACTTTTTTTATGAGGAAAACATTTTCCACAGGCCTCACATGAGAATGGCTTCTCACCAGTGTGAATTCTCATGTGAGAAGTTAAGCTCTGTTTGTGAGTGAAAACTTTTCCACAAATCCCACATGAGAAAGGTTTCTCACCTGTGTGAGATCTCATGTGAACCGTTAAACTTTTTTTATGAGGGAAACATTTTCCACAGGCCTCACATGAGAATAGCTTCTCACCTGTGTGAATTCTGTTGTGAGAAGTTAAGTTGTTTTTTTGAGTGAAACTTCTTCCACAAATCCCACATGAGAAAGGTTCTCACCTGTGTGAGATCTCATGTGAACAGTTAAGCTTTGCTTTTGAGAGAAACTTTTTCCACAGGTCTCACATGAGAAAGGTTTCTCACCCGTGTGAATTCTGATGTGATTAACTAATTTATATTTCCTCCGGAAACTTTTCCCACAGGTCTCACAAGGAAAAGGTTTCTCACCTGTATGAATCTCAATATGAGCAAGTAAACGAGATTTAGACAAAAAACTTTTCCCACAGGTTGTGCAGGTGTAAGGTTTCTCACCCAAGTGAATTTTCTTGTGTCTGTTTAAATTGCTGTTTAGACGAAAACGTTTTCCACAGGCTGGACAAGTGAACGGTTTTCACCTGTATGAATTCTCATGTGATCAATTAAACGACTCTTGTGAGGGTAACGTTTTCCACAGGTGGAACATGTCAAAAGTTTCTTAGCCGTGTGAGTTTTCTTGTGATTCATGAAGGAATTATTTTGAGAAAAGTTTCATCACAAATTTGACAAGAATATAGATTTTGGTCTGGTTGAGCTTTCATGTGCGTTTCTTGTTCTGAAGTCTCTGTTGAGTTTTTCTGCTGTTTGTTCAAAATGTCATCAGTTTCCTGTTTCATCACAAGATGATCTTCATCCTGACTAATGCAAAGTTGCTCCTCTTCCTCTTTGATCTGCCGAGGTTCTGGTTCCTCTTGTTCCAGTTTTATCTGCAGAGGTTCTGGTTCCTCTTGTTCCAGTTTTATCTGCAGAGGTTCTGGTTCCTCTTGTTCCAGTTTTATCTGCAGAGGTTCTGGTTCTGGTTCCTCTTGTTCCAGTTTCATCTGCAGAGGTTCTGGTTCTGGTTCCTCTTGTTCCAGTTTCATCTGCAGAGGTTCTGGTTCCTCTTGATCCAGTTTCATCTGCAGAGGTTCTGTTTCTGGTTCCTCTTGTTCCAGTTTTATCTGCAGGTTTCTGGTTCCTCTTGTTCCTGTTTCATCTGCAGAGGTTCTGGTTCCTCTTGATCCAGTTTCATCTGCAGAGGTTCTGGTTCCTCTTGTTCCAGTTTTATCTGCAGAGGTTCTGGTTCTGGTTCCTCTTGTTCCAGTTTCATCTGCAGAGGTTCTGGTTCTGGTTCCTCTTGTTCCAGTTTCATCTGCAGAGGTTCTGTTTCTGGTTCCTCTTGTTCCAGTTTTATCTGCAGAGGTTCTGGTTCCTCTTGATCCAGTTTTATCTGCAGAGGTTCTGGATGATCTTGATCTGAAGTGAAGTTTCTCTCCGTGTTTCTTATCTCATTTAGATCCTCCTCCTCTTTGCACACACTGCATTGTGGGAAATCTGGAAAAAAAAGTCAAAATGTGACGTCACACAATGAACCCTTCAGTTTAATTAAAAACTAAAATGAAAATATTCCTCATCAGGGGGCGTGCTGTAGTAGCGTAACCCACGTTTGGAGGCCTTCAATCCTCCACACGGCCGTTCCGGGTTTGATTTCCGGACCAGACGATATTTGCCGCATGTCTTTCCTTACTACATTCCTGTCAGCCTTCTTTCTTATAAGGGACACTAGAGCCCACAGAAACCCCCAGGAGGGGAAAATGTAATTCTCAGCAAACATTACAAAATGAAATCTCTTCCATCGTCTTTCAGAGAGATTGTTATTTACCTTATTTAGAATAAACAATGTCTGCATGTGGTTAATAATTTTACCAGCAATTAAACTTAATGCCGTCAAATGTGCCAACATTTGGAAATATGCAGTCTGGCTAGCTGACGTTAACTCCCCTTCAAGATTCGCTTCTCGCCAACAGGGACGTTGCACCATATTCTGTGACCACTGCACATTGTGACTGTAGGAGGCGCTGTTGCAGGTTTACATCATACTTTGCTATTCTTATGGACACAGAATATGAAGGCGCTTATCAAATAATGGTCCCACACTGTAACTTACAGTAAAGTACTAAATATTTAAACTGAACCATCTCTATTAACTCTGCTTGCTAAGTCAATATCTGACCATTAGTATTATGACATTTCTTTTTAGTTAAATGAAACGGCCCTTTAAATAGCTTTACATAGTGTTATAGTCAAGACCATCTAAGCAGAGACCAAGACCAGCCGCCACATGACTATAAAATGTGAAATATTAGCAAAAGTGCTAATCAAATTGGTCTGAAAGATCCACATTCCCATAAAAACAAATCAATTTAACCAATATTATCAATTCACACTCTTTGTTCTACTTTGCTCTGTGCTACAATCCATGGAAGTCTCATGCCAACCCTAAAAGTTAACGCCCTGGGCGGTTGCCCATATTGCTCATATCAGAAACCACCATTGTCTGCACTATTAAACATAGCAATTAAGGCAATGCACTAGTGGTAAACAACGCTCCATCATGAACACAGACCAAGGAGCAACAAGCAGAAATAACCAAACACTGTGACAGTTCTCACTTTTTCTCCTGCTGCATGAAGCCAGGCAGCACAGAACTATCACAGAGCAATGAGCATGCTCTGTGTGCTCTGGTTTTATTGATTCACCAATTAAATTAATATCAATGTATACAATCAATTAAAATAATGACAGCTACTGCAGCTGTTTCGTACCTATCCGCTGCAAGATGATCTTGGGTATCCGGGTAAAATCCATCAGTCTGCGCTGATCGTCCATCTCTTCCTCCATCTTAACGTTGATTTCTTTCCACTCTGTGAATGTTTCTTCAGCAGGAGTTTCCTGCTGCTTGATAAACTCTCTGAGGCTGAACTGAAGACATTTTTACATTAAACACAGAAATATTTAACTAAACTGCAAAACAGTCTTCAAGAGGAAAAGTAAAGCCAGACATTTGCTCTGTTTTTATTTTTCACGTGTTTCACTGTTGCTGTGCTGAAGAAACTGGAAGTGATTATTAGTTTGGCTTTAAATTTTCTGCTGAGTCTCTTCTTTTAAAGTCCTGGAGGGCTGATGCCCTGAAACCTTTAGCTGAGCCTCTGCTGCACCACCTGAATAGAGTAATTAGGTCATTAAGGCTCTGCAGATCTGATCCACACAAGGAGGAGGTAATTATGGTGATTTCATTGCAGTGTTTTGTACCTGTGGCTCATCTAAACACTGCAGGTCACCTTGAGGACTGGAGTTTGACACCTGTGGTTTAGTTACAATAGATCAGTCTGGAGAAAAACACTGATGATGTTTTGTTGTTCTTGCAATAACTAATAAAGTCCTGATTCAGTGAAAGTCACATATATATTGTCTATTTTTATAAAGATATTTCAGATAAGTATGAAGTTAACCAGGATGCTTTTATTGTTCTGTTGGTTTAAATTTAAAGCCTTTAGTTAATATTTAGAGGTAGATTTATTTAACCTCCCTAATTTTACTTTAATAAATTGCTGCACTTTTAGCTGCTGTTCAATCTGCCAGGTTTCTGCAACCTGGATCTCTGGATACTCAAGAGGCTCTTTGGCTCATTTATTATATCAAACTATAAAATATTGATCTGTTGTTTTGTTTCATTCTTTTTTAAGTGTCGTCATGAAACCGATCACATTGGCCCTTGTGGTAAATTTGGCCTCTAAACCAAACTCCTTATGGTATCAATATTTTCAGAAATTCTCTTTAAAATACCAGAATATTCACATAACTGTTATACTTTTGTCAGTCTGAGGAGACACTGAATATTGAATTAGGTGTTATGATCAGTTACTCAGTAATTCACCAAATACTTCAAAAGAAAATACAGAGGAAGAACATTGTTCCAGCAGGAATATTAAATAAATAGAATGATAAACCCTGACCTTTACTATTATATAAGATCAAAATATAGTTTATGTTCCATGACTCCTTCACTTCTAACTCACCAGTTTAAGTACTGAAGGTTGTTTAAAATGATTAATTGTACTTGCTTTGAATTTTAAAGTTTTGATTATTTAGGTTCATTCTTTGTTAAATTATGGCTCATTTTGTTTTATCTCTTATTAGTATAAATATAGAACTCAGTCTGTTAAGTGTTGAATGAAAAGAATATCGACTTTATTAGAATGTATGCAACGTTGAGGAAGAGATGATCTCTGTGGACTGCTGCTGTTTATGTATATGAAGGTTTTCCTGATTTACTTTTTGTTTTAAACAGGTTTTATTCCAGCCTCTATAATTATGTAAATCTAGTCTTTCACACAGTTTTCTACTAAACAGAAAAAAGAAAAGGATCATCATTATAATAGTTTATTTTCTAAAATTATATAAATAGTTTCAATCTGAAATTCAATTCATATCATCAATACATTTTCTAAGCAGGAAAATTAAAACCATGTCAAAGAAATGCATCCATTTCTCCAAATCATTGAAATAAAATAAATTAGTACAAAGGATAAAAGCACAATAAAGTTTCCAACATTTTAGAAGTCTAAATCTCAAATCATTTAAAGTCATCGTTTCTTTAGAGACAATCTCTCCCTCAGTCTGATTAAATAAAATAGAAATATAAAACTGCCAGAATAAAATCCAAGTCGGTTGCAATTACTCCACTTCCAAACAGCAACTTACTGAGAATCTTGAGGTTCACATTGTGCCATCAAACCTGTGCAAGTTCTCATGTGAACAGTTACATTTATTTAGAGTGAACCTTTTTCTACTGAATCTACAAAATAAAAGCTTCCAACCCGTGTGAATCTTCATGTGATGACTTAAACTGGATCTATACACAAAACATTTTCCTCACTTTTCACTAAGGGTGCAGACATGACATGGTGAGCTGGTCTAATAGTCAAACCTCACAGCGGAGAACAGAACAGTGGCTGAGGTCAATAACATTGAGGAATCAGATCAGCTTCACATGCATGTATCTGCTGCTCACCAATGTCCCAAAATTTAGAAAATCAACATTTATTAATCAGCCAGCTGATAAATCAATGCACAGCTACTTCTCACCTGTGTGAATTCTGTTGTGAGAAGTTAAGTGCTGTTTTTGAGTGAAACTTTTTCCACAGATCACACATGAGAAAGGCTTCTCACCTGTGTGAGATCTCCTGTGACGATTTAAACTTTTTTTATAAGGGAAACTTTTCCCACAAATCACACATGAGAAAGGCTTCTCACCTGTGTGAATTCTGTTGTGAGAAGTTAAGTTCTGTTTTTGAGTGAAACTTTTTCCACAAATCCCACATGAGAAAGGTTTCTCACCTGTGTGAGATCTCATGTGATGAACTAATTGATATCTAGTCAAACAATTTCTTCCACAAGTGCCACAAGTTATAACCTTCTCACCCGTGTGACATCTCATGTGAACAGTTAAACTTTCCTTTCGAGTGAAACTTTTTCCACAAATCACACATGAGAAAGGTTTCTCACCTGTGTGAGATCTCATGTGATGAACTAATTGATATCTAGTCAAACAATTTCTTCCACAAGTGCCACAAGTGATAACCTTCTCACCCGTGTGACATCTCATGTGAACAGTTAAACTTTGCTTTCGAGTGAAACTTTTTCCACAGGTCTCACATGAGAAAGGTTTCTCACCCGTGTGAACTCTGATGTGAATAGCTAACTGAGGTTTCCTCCGGAAACGTTTCTCACAGGTCTCACAAGAGAATGGTTTCTCACCTGTATGAATCTCAATATGAGCAAGTAATTGAGATTTAAACGAAAAACTTTTCCCACAGGTTGTGCAGGTGTAAGGTTTCTCACCCGAATGAATTCTCTTGTGTCTGTTTAAAGAGTCGTTAGACGGAAACCTTTTCCACAAGCTGGACAAGTGAACGGTTTTCACCTGTATGAATTCTCTTGTGATCAATTAAACGACTCTCTTTAGGGTAACGTTTTCCACAGGTGGAACATTTGAAAGGTTTCTTAGCCATGTGAGTTTCTTGTGATTCATCAAGGAACTATTTTGAGAAAAGTTTTTATCACAAATTTGACAAGAATATAGATTTTGGTCTGGTTGAGCTTTCATGTGCGTTTCTTGTTCTGAAGTCTCTGTTGAGTTTTTCTGCTGTTGTTCAAAATGTCATCAGTTTCCTGTTTCATCACAAGATGCTCTTCATCCTGACTGATGGAAAGTTGCTCCTCTTCCTCTTTGATCTGCAGAAGTTCTGGTCCTTTTTGGTCCAGTTTCATCTGCAGAGGTTCTGGTTCCTCTTGTTCCTGTTTTATCTGCAGAGGTTCTGGTTCCTCTTGTTCCAATTTCATCTGCAGAGGTTCTGGTTCCTCTTGTTCCAGTTTTATCTGCAGAGGTTCTGGATGATCTTGATCTGAAGTGAAGTTTCTCTCCGTGTTTCTGAGCTCATTTAGATCCTCCTCCTCTTTGCACACACTGCATTGTGGGAAATCTGGAAAAAAAAGTCAAAATGTGAGGTCACACAATGAACCCATCAGTTTAACAAAAACTAAAATGAAAATATTCTTGATCAGGGGGCGTGCTGTGGTAGCGTAACCCACGTTTGGAGGCCTTCAATCCTCCACACGGCCGTTCCGGGTTTGATTACCGGACCAGACGATATTTGCCGCATGTCTTTCCTTACGACATTCCTGTCAGCCTTCTCTTATAAGGGACACTAGAGCCCACAGAAACCCCAGGAGAGGAAAATGTAATTCTCAGCAAAACATTCCAAAATAAAATCTCTTCCATCGTCTTTCAGAGAGATTGTTATTTACCTTATTTAGAATAAACAATGTCTGCATGTGGTTAATAATTTTACCAGCAATTAAACTTAATGCCGTCAAATGTGCCAACATTTGGAAATATGCAGTCTGGCTAGCTGACGTTAACTCCCCTTCAAGATTCGCTTCTCGCCAACAGGGACGTTACACCATATTCTGTGACCACTGCACATTGTGACTGTAGGAGGCGCTGTTGCAGGTTTACATCATACTTTGCTATTCTTATGGACACAGAATATGATGGCGCTTATCAAATAATGGTCCCACACTGTAACTTACAGTAAAGTACTAAATATTTAAACTGAACCGTCTCTATTAACTCTGCTTGCTAAGTCAATATCTGACCATTAGTATTATGACATTTCTTTTTAGTTAAATGAAACGGCCCTTTAAATAGCTTTACATAGTGTTATAGTCAAGACCATCTAAGCAGAGACCAAGACCAGCCGCCACATGACAATAAAATGTGAAATATTAGCAAAAGTGCTAATCAAATTGGTCTGAAAGATCCACCCATAAAAACAAATCAATTTAACCAATATTATAAATTCACACTCTTTGTTCTACTTTGCTCTGTGCTACAATCCATGGAAGTCTCATGCCAACCCTAAAAGTTAACGCCCTGGCGGTTGCCCATATTTCTCATATCAGAAACCACCACTGTCTGCACTATTAAACATAGCAATTAAGGCAATGCACTAGTGGTAAACAACGCTCCATCATGAACACAGACCAAGGAGCAACAAGCAGAAATAACCAAACACTGTGACAGTTCTCACTTTTTCTCCTGCTGCATGAAGCCAGGCAGCACAGAACTATCACAGAGCAATGAGCATGCTCTGTGTGCTCTGGTTTTATTGATTCACCAATTAAATTAATATCAATGTATACAATCAATTAAAATAATGACAGCTACTGCAGCTGTTTCGTACCTATCCGGTGCAAGATGATCTTGGGTATCCGGGTAAAATCCATCAGTCTGCGCTGATCGTCCATCTCTTCCTCCATCTTAACGTTGATTTCTTTCCACTCTGTGAATGTTTCTTCAGCAGGAGTTTCCTGCTGCTTGATAAACTCTCTGAGGCTGAACTGAAGACATTTTTACATTAAACACAGAATATTTAACTAAACTGCAAAACAGTCTTCAAGAGGAAAAGTAAAGCCAGACATTTGCTCTGTTTTTATGTTTCACGTGTTTCACTGTTGCTGTGCTGAAGAAACTGGAAGTGATTATTAGTTTGGCTTTAAATTTTCTGCTGAGTCTCTTCTTTTAAAGTCCTGGAGGGCTGATGCCCTGAAACCTTTAGCTGAGCCTCTGCTGCACCACCTGAATAGAGTAATTAGGTCATTAAGGCTCTGCAGATCTGATCCACACAAGGAGGAGGTAATTATGGTGATTTCATTGCAGTGTTTTGTACCTGTGGCTCATCTAAACACTGCAGGTCACCTTGAGGACTGGAGTTTGACTCCTGTGGTTTAGTTACAATAGATCAGTCTGGAGAAAACACTGATGATGTTTTGTTCTTCTTGCAATAACTAATAAAATCCTGATTCTGTGAAAGTCACATATATATTTTCTATTTTATAAAGATATTTCAGATAAGTATGAAGTTAACCAGGATGCTTTTATTGTTCTGTTGGTTTAAATATAAAGCATTTTGTTAATATTTAGAGGTAGATTTATTTAACCTTCCTAATTTTACTTTAATAAATTTTTGCACTTTTAGCTGCTGTTCAATCTGCCAGGTTTCTGCAACCTGGATCTCTGGAGACTCAAGAGGCTCTTGGCTCATTAATTATATCAAATTATTAAATATTGATCTGTTGTTTGTTTCATTCTTTTTAAGTGTCGTCATGAAACCGATCACATTGGCCCTTGTGGTAAATTTGGCCTCTAAACCAAACTCCTTATTGGTATCAATATTTTCAGAAATTCTCTTTAAAATACCAGAATATTCACATAACTGTTATACTTTTGTCAGTCTGAGGAGACACTGAATATTGAATTAGGTGTTATGATCAGTTACTCAGTAATTCACCAAATACTTCAAAAGAAAATACAGAGGAAGAACATTGTTCCAGCAGGAATATTAAATAAATAGAATGATAAACCCTGACCTTTACTATTATATAAGATCAAAATATAGTTTATGTTCCATGACTCCTTCACTTCTAACTCACCAGTTTAAGTACTGAAGGTTGTTTAAAATGATTAATTATACTTGCTTTGAATTTTAAAGTTTTGATTATTTAGGTTCATTCTTTGTTAAATTATGGCTCATTTTGTTTTATCTCTTATTAGTATAAATATAGAACTCAGTCTGTTAAGTGTTGAATGAAAAGAATATCGACTTTATTAGAATGTATGCAACGTTGAGGAAGAGATGATCTCTGTGGACTGCTGCTGTTTATGTATATGAAGGTTTTCCTGATTTACTTTTTGTTTTAAACAGGTTTTATTCCAGCCTCTATAATTATGTAAATCTAGTCTTTCACACAGTTTTCTACTAAACAGGAAAAAAGAAAAGGATCATCATTATAATAGTTTATTTTCTAAATTTATATAAAAAGTTTCAATCTGAAATTCAATTTATATCATCAATACATTTTCTAAGCAGGAAAATTATTAAAACCATGTCAAAAAATGCATCCATTTCTCCAAATCATTGAAATAAAATAAATTATTACAAAGAATAAAAACACAATAAAGTTTCCAACATTTTAGAAGTCTAAATCTCAAATCATTTAAAGTCATCGTTTCTTTAGAGACAATCTCTCCCTCAGTCTGATTAAATAAAATAGAAATATAAAACTGCCAGAATAAAATCCAAGTCGGTTTCAATTAATCCACTTCCAAACAGCAACTTACTGAGAATCTTGAGGTTCACATTGTGCCATCAAACCTGTGCGAGTTCTCATGTGAACAGTTACATTTGTTTTGAGTGAACCTTTCTAATGAATCTACAAAATAAAAGCTTCCAACCCGTGTGAATCTTCATGTGATGACTTAAACTGGATCTATACACAAAACATTTTCATCACTTTTCACTAAGGGTGCAGACATGACATGGTGAGCTGGTCTAATAGTCAAACCTCACAGCGGAGAACAGAACAGTGGCTGAGGTCAATAACATCGAGGAATCAGATCAGCTTCACATGCATGTATCTGCTGCTCACCAATGTCCCAAAATTAAGGAAATCAACATTTATTAATCAGCCAGCTGATAAATCAATGCACAGCTACTTCTCACCTGTGTGAATTCTGTTGTGAGAAGTTAAGTTCTGTTTTTGAGTGAAACTTTTTCCACAAATCCCACATGAGAAAGGTTTCTCACCTGTGTGACATCTCATGTGAACAGTTAAACTTTGCTTTTGAGTGAAACTTCTTCCACAGGTCTCACATGAGAAAGGTTTCTCACCTGTATGAATCGTCATATGAGCAAGTAACTGACATTAGACACAACATTTTTTCCACAGATTGTGCATGTGTAAGATTTTCACCAAAGAAAATTCTCTTGTGTCTGTTTAAAGAGGCGTTTAGACGGAAACATTTTCCACAAGCTGGACAAGTGAACGGTTTTTTCACCTGTATGAATTCTCATGTGATCATTTAAACGACTCTTGTAAGGTAACGTTTTCCACAGGTGGAACATTTGAAAGGTTTCTTAGCCGTGTGTGTTTTCTTGTGATTCATCAAGGAATTATTTCGAGAAAAGGTTTTATCACAAATTTGACAAGAATATAGATTTTGGTCTGGTTGAGCTTTCATGTGCGTTCTTGTTCTGAAGTCTCTGTTGAGTTTTTCTGCTGTTTGTTCAAAATGTCATCAGTTTCCTGTTTCATCACAAGATGCTCTTCATCCTGACTGATGGAAAGTTGCTCCTCTTCCTCTTTGATCTGCACAGGTTCTGGTTCCTCTTGATCCCATTTTATCTGTAGAGGTTCTGGTTCCTCTTGATCCACTTTCATCTGCAGAGGTTCTGGTTCCTCTTG